GTGTGTGAGGTTCCTAAGCAGACCCCCGTTATGGATTGAATTGTGCCCCACCCCCCACAAGACCATGTTATAAATCCTTAAGCCTTGGGCTTCCAGCCACAGGTCAGGTATTCGAAACCACCAGGGGCTCCGTGGGCAAAAGATGAGACTTCCTGCACCTGCAAAGGTTACAGTCTCAGAAATTCACCGCGGCAGTTCGAACCTATCCTAGAGGGTCATTAAGAGTCCGAATCCACCGGATGGTAGTGAGTTTGAGGTAGTAGTGACAATCCCGCCGGGGCATGGGCCCTCTTTGCTGTGCTAATGAGCCAGGATTACATAGGTGTGTCTTGAGTCAATCTCTTCTGAGACATAAAAGAGATTACACATGCAAACAGGGGAGAGATGGGGGAAGAGAGAGGCTAAGCCCCTTGGAAACCGCCAAGCAACCAAGAAGCAGAAGTTAAAGAGACCGACCAGGCCCTGCCTTCCCCAGGAGCCCGCAGAGAGGAAAGCCTCCCCTAGAGCTGACCCTCTGGATTTGGACTTCGAGCCCCCAAACTGTGAGAAAGGCATTTCCCTTTGTTAAAGCCACCCACCGCATGTGTGATTTCTGGGATAACAGCACTAGAAAACTAAGTGGCCCCAGGACCCAGCTGGCGCATGGGCTGGGGCAGACCTGCGATCTTGCTGCCCACCATTAGTTTATTTAACTAATTAGCATCCTCACATTCTCCTCACGTGGGATCCAGCAGCCTAGAATTCTAATCCTCTCAGTCAATTAGCTTATTCTCTCCTTGCCTGAGGTGCTTCTTAAACCCCAGAGGAATCATGGGAGACTGAGTCCTACCCAGCTCTCCACCTGGCCTGCTGCAGCGGTGGATTTGGCAGAGGTTCAGGTGGGGAGGGTGTGTGTATGGGAGAAGGGGGGTGCCCACTCAGAGGAAATGGCTGTATCCCTTTTGCCAAGACCAGCATTGGGTGCCCCTCTTCACACAAGCCCACCTTGCCCCGCCCCGGGATCTCCTGGACGGCCCCAGGCTCAGCCCCATCAGCCACTCTGAGAGCCTCCTCCAGCAGCACCCTACCTGCTGGGCCTCAGCTGCTCCTCTGTAGGCCTAAAGCAGGGAGACAATGACTTGACACCTCGAGGCCGTCCACCCCACCGGACAGCCAGGTCACCCGAGTGACCAGGAGATGCGGTGCCAGCCCAGTCAGGATGGGCCAGCTCAGCCTCCCCAGACCTGTTGGCTCCCCAATGAAAGCAGGCTGCTGAGAAGGGCCCGGAGCATCAGGGGCGCTCACGCCCTTGGCCCCGACAGGAGAGAATGCATCTTCCCTCTTGCTCTCATTTTGTGTGTCTGCCACTCGGTGAACTTGAAACCCTGGCTTTTACAAAACAGAGCGGAGCCATTTTTAACCCCCTTCCCTCCTCCTCCATCTTCCTTCCCGAGCTCCCTGCTGAACTGGACCAAAAGAAAAAAAAGAAAAGTTACAGCTGTGTCCTCCATTAGAGGCCTTTCGAGAAATCATTATGGAAACTCACACTTATTTTGGTCGCCTCCTTCCCGGAGTCTTCCTGCTGAGATGCTTTTAGCTGTTGGAAGCAGGAGGGGCGTGGGGAGAGAGCAGAGAGAAGGCATTAGTGGGGGTGGGGGAAGGCATCCTGGGGGCGGGGATGCAGACAACAAATGCTATTCTAGCGACAGCAGATGGTGCTCTGGGGGCCATGGGGTGGGGGTCCCTGGGCTCTCTGCGCCCACCCAGGGGACGGGAGTCAGGGAGGAGGAGGATGAAAAGCACCTGAGTGGGCGCTGTGCAAAACAGCAAACTGTTCCCATCAAGCTGCTTCCAAAAGCGACCCTGTAGGACAGTCTAGACCGGCGCTTCTCAACCTTCCTCATGCCGCGACCCTTTCTTTTTTTTTTTTGGATTATTATTTTTTTTTCCTTCTGTTTTTATTTATTTATTTATTTATTTTTGAACATTTTATTAGGGGCTCATACAACTGTTATC